GCTGAGGTTCACTACGACCAGATTACTGGTAAAGCTGTTGCTCCTTGCCTTGTCATCTTTAAAAATTTATTCAGAATGGTTTTTGGCCTGGGGACAGCTGCGGACTGAACTCTTTGGATTGCGGATTGAAGCCATTACCATTTCCTTGCAATGGACCCGTCTATTCAAATATGCTAATGGAAATGAACACAGATAACGTAAGAGAAGCATCAGTAGTATACTCAGCTTGGAGTGTAGGTGCGATTTCCAATAATTCATCGCGCTTGCGAATTTTGTTATGTATTTTCATTCATTTCCAGCTGATGACCTAATCCTTTATGGAGATCAAGTATGGGGAAGACCAACTTCGTTGATTCCGACATCAAGCGGAAAGGTGACAAAATCGTAACTGAATGAACTTGCAGATACTGTGTGAACATAGAAACAAAATCATAGTAGTTTCGTTGAATAATAGCAAAAAAATTTTTTTTACATATCAACCATGAATCATTCCTTATATATATTGCTTGCAAATAGGGTTTTTGCCAGTTCACGCTATCACTGTGATTTTTAAAATTTATGTTCATTATTTTCTCTTCTTCTAGGTGGTCTACACTCACTACACTCATATGCAGACCAAAGAAAATACTGCCGCCGACCAATACACAATGGTAGTAAAGAAAACGCTACCTTCATCAAATTCTATTGCTGAAGCCTCTGTAAACCTCCATTCGCTTTGATATTGGTAATCAAATATTCTGAATAAAGCATCTATCTTCCAAATCAATGGATTGAGTTATAGAAAAAATCTCACACAATTTCTAGAAAAATACAGACAATGATGTAATCTGCTATCGCTTTCAAATCATAGATGTACTCCTAAGTATGAAGATATATCTGTTTTGATGTTAAAGACTATTAGCCCCTTCACAATAAGTGTTAAAAATATCTGCAAATCAAACAAAATCACTATTTTCAGGTGGTAATTCAAAAAAGGATTGCGCTAAGATAGCGCTCTCAGCTCTTCTAAATTTATTTAAAGCAGTTTCAGTAATTGACTGTTGCTTCATATCTTGTAGAGTCTTGAAAGAAATACATTTTATGAACCGAAAGTAAAGCCAGAAAATTAATTGCGCAAAAACAATTAAGAGCAACACAGTACGAGCGATGTACATGCGAAAACTTTGAGAGGTGGCATGCACGGCATCACCATATATTTAAAATAGAAAAATGACTGCAAAAGAAGTAGCAAGTCCCGCTCTAAAAATGGCCAGCATAATCTTGTTTTCCAGCAGAAAAAATGCAGCAACAGTGCCAGCGTCACGTTTGGCACCGCCACCAATTACAGCAAGGCCACAATTCATCTGAATAGGTTAATTGTTGTTGTATCCAACAGGAATTAAAAACTCGCCTTTTTGCATTCTTTTCTCAATGATATCGCGAAGTTGCGAAGCCCTATTATGGGTCTCCGCCGCCAATCCAATATCAATGTATGCCAGTTCTGTTGTAGTTCTTGAATAGAAACATTAATCAGAAACATTAGTGAGTAGGTTAAACAATACTTACACTCAAACAGGCATTTGAAGGCAAAAAAATGCAAATAATCTCTTTTGTTCATATCGTCATGTTCCTTCTCAAAAGCTCTGATGAATCTTCAATAAAAACGACAATTATCCTGTAAGTGTTCAGCTAAGAGCTGCCTCTACATAAAAGCTTTTAGATACGCAGTAATGAAAACATAGTACACGACAGAACTATGAATCAAATGTTCATTTCTGCAAAATTTTGATATGAAAAAATGCTTTGATCAAATCCAAATATACTTGCTGAAATTGTAGCTTATAACTGCGAGTTCTTCATCTTATAACAAGAAGAATAAATAGAAAGACCTAAGAAAAATAATTTAAGAATGAACTGGGAAAACGTCCTAAGAGAATGTCAAACAAACGCAAACTGTTTCAAAAACAGAAGGACTAATTCAATAATTTTAATATTGATGACGTTGATGTTCAGTGTAGTGAGCTACTCCAAGAAAGAAATGAGATCAAACGCGCATAGTGGGGTGTTCAAAAAGCAAAATCGTAAGCTCAAACATGCAAGGTGGGTGACGTGCTCTAGCGCGAACGCGACCTGTAAACGCGGCCGCGTAGCGTGATTCAAGTGGGTTTCTTGTGCATCTCACGTCGTCGAACAAATACTTAACGAAGTGGGAAGATTGGCAAAAGGACAAAGATTAGCGTCCGTGCTTTCTATATATGTTTCATGAGCACAATAAAGCAGTCAGTGTTATTACGATGTCCCTTAACGTACAGCGCTATATTGATGATTGTGCCATTATCCAATCAGCACAATCCGAAATATGAGTTTTTGAATACTCAATCAATAATCAGAACATTAGAACAAGAGAGTAACCACGAAAAGGCTGGCTGCCCTGTCTTAATTTTCGACTAATGTTGGCCAGTGCTACGATATACGTAAAGTATTGAAAAAAAGCTGCAAATAACATTATACATGCAAAATTCGCTCATCCAACTGCTATGAAACGTGCGTTAATTCGTAGCATATATAGAACGGCTGTTATGTTCATAACAATAAAGGTGAGAGAATAGAGAGTCTCTGAAAATGACATCTAGGATTCCTCTATGTTTGCCGTTCATACTCGACAGCCGTAGTTATTTAGTGGAAGCCTAGTAAAAAAAAATGATGTTGTTCCAGTGAACATATCGCAGTACACGTCAAAAAGCACCTTATTTGCAATAGAGTGTCAAAACAGGTAGTTTGTCTTATGGGAAACTGGAAGATTGCTTTAGTGTGCTTCAGGTGCGGAGTAGTCTACCAGCTGGAGTGTGTAGATTGTAATGCCAACATAGATGAGACCACTTTCCCTGCGGGTAAATGAACATCTGGCTAGTAAAAGACGACAGAGTCTCATAAAACTGCTAGGGGGTACAGAAAGGAAGTCAACAAGACGATTTTGATGTTAAATGCAGCATCCTGCCGTTCGAAGAACATATTTCTGCTCGGGAAGCATTAGAGGCCTTATACATTCTTTGCATAGTCCTAAAATGATAAGCAAAAACGAGCGCTTGTCTGACAAAGAATTTACGGCCTTTATTAATATTCCGTGAGCTATAAGATTGTCCTCAGACAGACTAATCAAACGCATACAAGTCATTTGCATAGCTCAGTCTTCCTCCTACCCGTGAGCAGGAAGTGAGCTAGCATCTGCTAAACTCTGCGAAATACTGGCGAGTCAATATGTAAGCACTAGCCGCAGTCATTAAGAAACAGTCGAATGTGTGATGTCCCAGAGGCGGATCAGGCTTCTGTAGACGACACTAAACCGAAACGTCAGGTACAATAAAGGTCTTCCAATACATACTGTTACGGCATAAGAAAACAT